TGTCGTGGGAGTGGCCCCCGCCCCCTTCGTGCTCCTGAGCCCCGGCTCAGCGTGTGGCTCCTTCCCGTAGAGGGTTAAGGGCCCCGGCTGCTGGCCCACGCAGCCTCTGCCGCAACGCTTAAACAGACACAGATGAGAGTTCGTGCTCGACAGGAAACAACCCCCGCTCCCCCTTCCCTTCCCCTCCCCCACCCTGAGACTATAGCTGGGGGGAGGGTGGCCCAGAGCCAGCTCTGGCTGAAACCAAATGCTCCACATAAACCAAGCACCGGGCCCCTAGCTGCTTTGTTTGCTGCCCTGCCACGAAACTGTTGGGGTATCTAGAGCTGGGAGGTGGGGGGGATTCGGAGTCAGGACTTCTCAGTTTTCTCTCTCCCGTCTCGGTGGAGAGAAGTGTCTAATGGTTAGAGTGAGGGAGGCTGGGAATAGACAGGGCAGCTGGGTTCTGCTCCCAGCTCCAGGCGGCGGAGTGATGCCTAGTGGTTGGATCTCAGCGGGGTTCCTCTTTAACCCCATTGTTACAGAAAGGGGAAACTGAGGCATGCCTGGCTGGATGGCTGAGTCACGACATCTCAAAGGATCCTGAAAAACTGGCACTGGAGTGATCATCTAGCCACTTGGATTTCGTCCCTGCCTACGATTCTCAAACTGGTAATTTTTAACTCACTGGCCGTTTTGCTAAAAAAACTGCTGTAAGAATTATATTGGGACAGGTTTCTAATCTGTGCCACCTAGGAAGACAGGTTACATGATACAACTGGTTCCTTCTGGCCTTGCAATCTACGAATCCATGAACAAGCCACCTCCCACACTCTGGGACTCAGTTTCCCCTCCCCACCTTTTGTCTAGGAACTCTAGGGGAGCAGGGACTGTCACTTGCTCTGCGTGTGAGCAGCACCTGGCACAATACATAAGTCAACATGTATGGAGTCTTCGATGCCAGTTTTTCAGGATCCTTTAAGATGTTGTGACTCAGCCATCCAGCCAGACATGCCTCAGTTTCCCCTTTCTGGAACAACTTTATTTTTATGATGCAGTTGGATTTGATTTTTAGATTGCATTAAAATATTAGAAATCTCAAACCATCATTCAGGACAACCCAAACACGTGAAATACACCCTATGAAGACACAGCTTGAATTTACTGCTGCAATAGCAGCTAAAAGCCAAAGCACAATACAGCGACGCCGTCACGTCAATATTAATCATTTTTTTGTTGAAACAAAATATTTCAACTTTTTTCCATTGGGAATGTCACAGAAAGCAACACGCGGCTGTGAAACATTTCCATCCTGGCCAGATGACATTCTCCAATGGAAAACTGCTCCCTCAAAAGTTCTTCCACCAGGTGCCGTCCCGATGCAGGTTGTGTGCCCCCAGAATGGGGGCAGGTGTGGGGAGACACATAAGATAAAGGCTGCAGGAAATCACATGCGATCACCTTTTCCATGAGCATTTGCACAGTAGCGGGGGAGTTTATGAAAATGTCTCTGATCCCAAAAGTTTTGCCAGTTAAAAAACCTTGGAAATTGCTCCATGCAAAAATCAAAAACGTTGTGACCGTTGAGAGAGCTGAGTCAACACAAACCGTCAAAACAGTTCAACCACCCTCTCAGCTCATCCTCCCCCCTAGAAAATTTAGACTTTTGGAGCCAAAGTTTAAATTTCGGCCAGAGACTAACATATTTCAAGTCACCAGCCATGGTTCAGGTACCTTATAGTCTCATTCTCTATGGGCCAGGCTCTGACTGGACTACATCTCCCATGATGCACCACTTTCTCCCCTCTCAGGGAAGGAAGGCGGGGGATGTTCCTGGCCATGTTGCAGCATGGGAGACCTATGGGGGTCAGTGTTAGCAAAGTTGCTAGGAGTGCAGAAAACATCTCAGCCCCCCGGCAAGTCCCCCTCCAAACGCTGTGGTCTCCTGCCGGGCTCTCCCAGAGGCATGGGCACTCGTGGGCTGC